CCCCCAAAACCCCAAAACCCCAAAACCCCAAAACCCCAAGATGCCAACATATAATATAGACTTTGAAAATTAAGATTTTAATTAATATTCTACCTCCAGCTGTATATTCCATGAAGTTTCAATGTTTACTTCTCTTACTCCCCTTTTTTTTGCCTTTAAACTTCTTAGCAACATTTCCTTTCTTCTTTCTGAATCTTTTACCAGTCATATACTCTGGATTACTCTATCTTTTATTTTGAATTTCGTCGAAAGTCTTCTTATTCTTCTTTGGTCCTAATCTATGTTATTTTCCACTTCCATCATCGTCTTCCTCAATTTTCCTAATGCCTTCTTTTGTCAGATTGAGAGCGCCATCTCTGAATTTAGCAGCTGAATATAAATGCAGATTTATTCCACGATCCTTATCTAAATTCTATCTAGATATCTCTTTTTTCTGTTCTTCCTTTCTCTCAAAGTAACCTTACATCATCTTTTTGGGTCCTAAACGATTAGTGTCAGCAATAACCCCTAGCTTTCTGTCCATGTCTTTCTGTACATTTGCTCTCTCAATTGATTTCTTTTGCATACCTTAGAGCATTTTATAGGGGATCTTGACCTTGTGATTTGTCTAGGATAGTCTTTTCTAGTTGTAGTCCATATTCCCCTTAGCTAAAGTTAATATGAATGAGATAATGCTTACTAAACTTTTAGACATCTTTGAAAAGTGTCTTTAGGTCTCTTTTATTCATTACTTGAACCTTATTAAATTTATTAATTATAACTAAGAGAGTTATATAATTATTATATAAAAACTAGTTAAGGATAAGAGTCTATATATAAATTAATTACTATACTCTAAAACTCATTTTGATTCAATAACTCTCAAACTTTATTGCAAGAGTTAATTGCATCTCCTGTTCAATTAATGACTTGTGTAATCTTTGTATCTCTTATTAGGAAGAAAGCACCTTGTCTCTCTATAATTGCATCAATCCATACATTAAATTTGGTCATTGCTTTTATTTATTTTTCAATAGTCTCAAGGGCATCAGCATTTTTATATAGATTGCAAGGCCTAACATTTGAAAAGAAGTCATTACCTCTATCTTCATCGAAGGAGTACAGTAAAATTCTATAAAAATTCTTGTTCATTTAAGAGGATGAGTCCTTCACTAGCATTTGCATTTTATATATTAGTTTGCATTCTACCTTGCAAGACTTGCATTTACCTTTGCCTTCTTTCTCTAAGGTTTCACAAGAATAAGTCTCACTGCACTCAGGACAGTAGGCTTAAACTACTTCTCTGTGATCAATTGGATCGATTCTTAAGCAGTAAAATCTAACTCTGAATGCATTTCGTTCTCTTAAGTTTTCGGGAATTTAGTCAAAGTTCAGGAATAGATCTGTGAGCTTGAACATCTATCCTCTTGCCAATGATGAATCAGTTATTTCAGTAAGTACTACAGCATTCATAACAATGTCACTTGCCTCATCTCCTAAGACTTTATCCATATCTGTCTCATCTTCAATGACTTTAGAGAGCTCAGTGGCAATTCTTGAAGATGGGTGGAATCTCAAAATATTTGTATTATTCTTGGTCTGAATCACATTTCTCTTAGATGTAAGATTGACTTCAACACATCTGATTCTAATTACCTCTCCTTGCTTGAGACTTTAAAACTTGAATCTTGGCACACTCATAAACCACATTCTAAATTAAAAACATTTAAAAAACTTGATATTCTTACTCTTGTGACAGATCCTTGATTCTTATCTCAAGATTGTTCTCATCTTTTTCGAATATTTTCAAAATTTTGCACAACAAGTCGAATTCTTAGCTCTCATCATTGCTCATCTTTGTTTTGCAGTCTTTTAAAAGCATGTACATATCCTTTGTGATAACATAGTTATTAGCAAAATAATTTTAACCCCAAGTTCTAATGTTATCCATAATAATCTTTTCATGATTTATGTCAAAAGTATAACTTCTGCCTGAGAACTTATATGGCTTATATCTTCTTTTCTCTTGTCTTTCTAGCTACTTTTCTTTCAGCTAGTCTTGATCAAGCATCTCTTGATCCTCTCCATTTTGATTCTCGTCTGAATCATTGTCGTCAAAATCATCATCATCCTTGTCTTAATTTTAATGAAACAAACACCAGCTGGAATTATACTGAAGATTCACGTAAAACTGTCTCATATCATTGAAAAACTTGACATTAGCACGATGAACACGCATAATATCTCCTACTCTTCTGATAATAGGTAGATCTTCGAATCTCTTAGCATAGATTACAACGTTTGCAAAAAGAGGAGAAGAAGACTCGCCTTTGTGATGAATAGTTTGATCAACGACTTTAATTGTGCAAATATACTTGCCATTCGATGTCTTATAAGGATAGGCAGCGTCTATGATCACTCCGAAGAAGTTGTACTAATCTTGGGAATCTGGGTCGATATTTCCCAAACTGTGATAGATATAGTTATTGGACTAAATAAAGTAAGAATTTTAATAGAATTACTCTGTTTGATGTAGTGCTATTGTTATGTTAAGTTGTTTGCATATTCGCGGTAAAATTATAAAAATACTAATAATTAAAATAGAGGGAAATTATTATTACTTTTAATTTTTATATCGGTTTAATACTAAAATTCTTTTTCTCCATAACGTTATCAATACAATATTTGAGGGGTTTTGGGGTTTTGGGGTTTTGGGG